AAATATCAATAGGAAATATAGGAGTAATGTTAAAAAATTGTACTTGCCTTGTTATTTATGTTAGTTTTGATATTTCCTTCAATATAGTCTTGGATTCTAGCTATTTGTATAAATGGCTTCCTAAGTCGAAAACTGTTTTTGAATCTCTGATCAGTATGTATAAAATTTTGGTGTACTGATTTTAGGGAGAGTAGCAGCATAAGACTTATTTTCAACATATAATTACTTAGTAAATAAATAATTGGTACAGATGTTGTTAGTCATGTGAGGCACAGGAAACCAAAAGGTGAGACAGGATGAAAATCATTTTCTCTTCCTTGAATGTGTGCTGTGTATGCATCTTTCTGAACTACTCATCCTAAACTTTCTGTTACAGAAAATGAAAACATATGCTTTTAAGAAATTATTCACTTGATATATTTAGCTGTCTGCTTTAGGATGTGATTCCTTTCATTGTAGACTCCTTTTTTCTATTGCCTGAATCTCCATTTACCGTGAAGGGAGGCAGGAATGGCTAGCTGTCTGTGGTGAGATGAGTCCTGCTCAAGATTACTTCAGATTTCGTGTCTATTAGCCAAGTAACGCAGGGGAGCTTTTTGCAATGATAGTATTTTAACTTTTGTTGAAACAAGATTCTGAATTTTTATTTTCTACAGTAGGAAACTCTTACCTTAATTTCTGTAAGATGAACTAGGCTGATCTCATACATCATATATAATCTAATTGAAACTTTGTGGACAGGGTGAAGTACTTAAGGAAGAAGTAGTGTCTCTGAAACATGCTGTTTTTCTAAACAGAAATCTATTAGATATCTGTTCATCCATCTCTTAGATGGCTGAATCATAGTACTGTTAAACTTAAGATGCATGTGTTATTACAAAACTGCCTCTGTACATCTTTATTTAAAAAAAAAAAGCTATTCACAGTAGTATATGAGATAGGGTATTTGAGTTTTTTATCGTAGGCAGAGTCTGTTTGGAATCTATTTACTGGTAAATGTCTGCATTGCATAAAAAGAGTATCAGGAGCGTAGCTGAATCCTGGTATAGTTAGGGAAAACTTTATTCTGGAAACCATATTAGAGACAGGGATTAAATGCTGCTAGTGGTTAGTAAAATTCACTAGCTAGAAAACCCAAACTCGCTAATGCTGAAAAATGAGCTCACAAAAGACTAGAGATAATGTGAGTTAAAGGAAATACAGGTAAATATTTTCTGTGATATAACAATATAACTGGTTCTTACATATTTTTCCTCAGGCTGTTGTTTGGTTTTCTGCCAAAGCAAGGCCTGCTAAAGTTCTAGTTCATGATTCTGTCATGTGCTACAATTTGCAGTTCCCTCATTTGTACGGGTAAAGCTGTTCAAGAGTTCACATTGTAAACCGGATCACTTCAGTGATTAAAAATAACCCCATTTTGGGATGTGACGATAGTAGTTGCATTAAATCTGGAAGCTTTTGGTGATTCATTTTATAATTAGTCCCCAAAGTTTTACTGGTGTAACTGAGGAGAGACAATGAACTGCGTAGGAAGGGTCACAGAGGCAGGAGGTGACAAACTGGTTTCTGCTCTAAAGTTAGTACCTTGTGAAACTGGACGCTTAGTTGATCCTTAAGTGCTTTCAAAGTTTTGCTTTCTTCATAGTGAGAAACTGAGGAAAAAGAAATTACTTGTCTTCTCTGACAGGGTAATGCTAGTGCTGAAAACAGTCTAGATTTTTGGTCTCAGTCAGTGCTCTGAAAAGTATAAATGTAGTAACTGCATTTTTTTTAAACTAGCGTATTTAAATTGTAATCAAGGTTTGTATGTATTTGCACTGTGACAGTTCTGCATCCATTTTCTACTAATGGACAATTATTTGTGGTATGTTCACTTCAAAGCATGCGTGCATCCAAGATCCTTCTGCTTAGCTCTGAAGATCTATTTTAAAACCATAGAATTAAAAGTTAGTTGGTCTATTGTTGAGAAAGTGTTAACTTAAACTATTTGTGAATCTGCATTTCATTTTATTTCAGCTAATGGGGCTGCAACATTAATAAGTGTAGTTCATCTTCCATTTCTGTGAGCTTTTATCCTATTGATTGCTGTTTGACTTGTTTCTCTGGGGCTTAAGCATAACTGATTTTTGCTGGAATCTTGTTGACAGGTTGATGTTTGTGTATACTGTCATCTAGAAATAAATCTCATGCTGAGTTTATATAAAGATGGTTGAAAATGTGCCAAGTGAACAAACAATTATGTACAAGTCCCTTCCTTGCAACTGAATGCTGCAGATATTTAAATTCAGACAAATTACATTCTGTTATATCTCTTTGGGTTTACTCTTTCCCCTTTCTCTGCCAGGGATGGAATCTCCTCCTAGAATTGAGGAAAAGCTAAATCAAAATGGACTGAAGGTCCCTTTTTTATTTTTATTTTTATTTTTTTTAAAAAACCTCAGCCATCCTTATTTCTTCCAATACCAAACCTAGGTTGTTGGGCCACACACTAAGAAAGCTCTACTTTGTATGCATGCAAGTGTGTGAGTGTTGCTTTTGAATCTGAAACTTAACGGAAAATGTCTCTTAAAGCCATGATTCCTGTGGGAGCAAAGGAGTTCCATGACCTGGGCCAGAGTTGTGGGATGGGATGAGTTCTTGTGAATAGAGTTTTAAGTCTTGAATGTGACTTAATACTCAACAGAGAAACAGTCTGTGAAAAGTTGAGCGCTGGAGTTTGTGCTGTTGGCAGCTTGTATTACAGAATGGCTATTTAATGTATTTTGACCCTTTTTCAACTGCTTTAAGGGGTCTAAAAAAGATCAATTTAGCAGAGAATATTGAATATAGGATTCATTACGGGCAAAAACAGACTTGTGGGGATAGGCAGTGTCCTAGTAGCAGTTAAAAATGATTGTCTCTAATTGTAGGGGTTTTTTGTGTTTGTTTAACAGAAGCAATGAAGAATCTGGTTAGGGTGCTGTGGAGGTGGCCGTGCTTTAGAGCAGCATTTTTTTTTTGGAAGATATTTGCAGTCTCTTTATGATTCAGACTCTGTAGTCTCACAACTGGATGGGGCACAGCAGATGAGTAATTTAGTACTTCATACAGATTTAAGGGTAGGCAGTTTATGCGTGTTCATGGTTTACTTCAAGCCTGCTTTGTAGGGATTTGGTCTGTGTGATGGAACGTTATAAGCTATAATAATGAATTATGAAAACATTGTATCAGCTCTCAGTAGTCAAAAAGCACGTTGTCATAAAGGAATGTAGAACAAACAGAATAGTATGTTTAAATATTTATATATTAAGAATATTTATATATTATATTATAAAGTATCAGTCCATTGTATATACATATCTTGAATAGAGTGTATGCTCCTGGTCTCTTCTTCCTCACTTTCAAAGAAAATATAGTAGAATTGTACTGGAGGGAGGAAGGAGACTGTAAAATCATGAGCCACTTGAGGCAAGTAAATGGGGTCTCATAGTTCTTGTTTTGGAACAGACAGTGAATGAGAAGATGCATGTACTATCAGGATGTTCAAAGCAAACAAGAGGAAGTGGTTCTTGTTGCAGCACATAGTTAAGCTATGAAGCTCCTTCCTCCCGGATGTTCTTGGTACTAAAAATGTGTATAGGTTAGTAAAGCTGCACGGTTTCAGGGTGGGGAAAAAATCCATACAGGGTTAAACACAAAGTCACTGTCCTGTGATGCGAAGAAGCATGAGCCTGTTGAAGCTTGAACCTGTTAAAAGATTAGGAGGGTTTCATTATGTGGTGTTACATGTGCTGTTTTCCTGTGTTCTTCCCTGTGCATCCTCTAATGGTCACTTGCCAGGTGGAATACTGTTCTAGGTGGACCTTTGATCTGATGTTGTATGTTCTTGTCTAGTTTTGTGCTTTCTGGAATAATAATAGGATAGTACTGCCTGGTAATCTGGCAGGTAGGGGAAACTTATGCAAGATCAGCAGTATGGGAACTGTTGGGAAACCTACATACCAACCCCACGGAAGCTTCAGTCCATTATAGTTGTACAGCTTTTGTGTGCAGAGCAACCCTTGGTATGTGATTTTTTTAATATCATGCATGAAAGCTAGTTGCTAAAACATGAAGAGCTTACTGCTGAATAAGTAGAGAATTGGTCCCCCAGAACCAGCAGTCTCTCTCTAATATGAAATTGTCCAACCGGAGAAATATTCCTCCTCCTCTCTCTACCTCCTTGTTTGTCCAGTAAAACTACTCACTAGATGGGCACAAAGAAGACTGAGAAGAAAGCTTTGCTGGTTGGATGGTTACTGGAAGAGTAATAGATATTTTTGAGGGGAATCCTGGAGGCATGGTTGCCAAATAAAGTATGAGTTTTGGTTCTGACTTATGCATCTGTGCAGCACATACTGCATTAAGTGGTGTGTATCTATGCAATACTTGACCTCCCTACGTGTGTGAGAATAGAATTACTTTGAGTTGAGAGTATATTATATATGTGGTGTGTATTAGAGGAAATGTTGTGTGAATGATTTGAAAAGCAGATTTTTGTTTTGCTTTTCCAGTGGAAGGTTCTGGATTTGAATGACTATGTCCTAAGTTTGCCAGAAAGCTCTTCACTTCTTGACTGTTGCTTTTAAGCTTTGGTAATTTTTCATTCTAGTTTTATGGGAATGTGTTTCTGTAGTGTATCTTGCATAGCCAAATCCGAAATAACTTTTCAAGAAAGAAGTTTTTTTCTAAGTTTATAGGAAACTTATTAATGACTTCTCAGTGCCAAATTTTGATACTATCATATCTAGTAATGAAATGGATTGATTTTTGGAAGATCTTCTAAAGTATAGTGCTTAATGGCTGACTGAAAGAGTGCAGTTAATTCCTCCCCCCCCCCAAAAAAAAAAAAAAAGTTGTTGTTAATTTTTTAAAACTTACATAAACTTTATTTCTTTAGTAAAAGTAATTGTTGCCCTTATCCTATTCCTTGGCCAACTTGTGAAGTTTCAGAAGTTGATTATCTCATTCAAATTTTATAGGGGTGGAGGTCTCAAACTGAATTCCTACAGACTTTTTGGAAGTAGACAGCTGGCTAGAGAAGAGGTTATATCATGGCTCCAGCTGAGAGAAGCAGTAAGGTGAGCTTGTTAAACATCAGAGAATCCTCATAGGACCCCAACCTTGTAATTGAATCCATATGAAACCAGATTTATAAGTTTCACTGCTTGTGAAATAACTTGTTTAGCAGGGAATGTTTTTAATCTAATGCTAACATTTCATCTTGAATAACTAATGTAAGGGGACTATTTGTTTGCCAGATTCCTTTTCAAAGCTTTTCTTTTTGAAGTTCAGTTTTGAAGCTGAGAAAATATATTTTAAGGAGTTTTTTTTTTTCCGGCTTTTTTATTTAGCTTGCAATAAGTCATCTAATTTTCATACTTCTGGCTGCTTTGTACTCAAGGTAGGAGAAATGGATAGCTTTTTGATAACTACAGGTTGTTGTTAAACTTGTATCTAAGTTAAAGATGCAGGAAAAGTTTTGGGGAAGTTGTCTGTGTGAAATAAAATGACAACGAGGCATAAGACCTTCACAAACAGGTTTGAATATGAGCATTTTATAAGTTGGCCCTTGCTTGCTTAAATGCTAAATTAATTGCCAAGCAGGAATTCAGCACAAAAAAGCTCAGCTCCTGAGTTCTCTCCCTCCCTTCCCACGTTTCTTCCCCTTCCCCCAACTCATTCCCAGGACCGTTGAACATAATGCAGCCTACGTGCACGTTTTTTAAACATCAGTTTTTATAACTCCAGTCAAAATATTTAACAAAACATTTTTATTTAGGACTGAGAGTACCTCTGGCCCAAATGTTTTATTTCAGCCTATAGAGCTTTATTTGTTTGTTGTAACTGCAGTATTGATTAACTATGCTTAAACTTACCAGAGTAACAAAATGAAATCTTACGTGTCAGTCTGAGCTACGCTTAACAGGAAACGGTTAAAAGGGCAAAGATTAAAGTCCAAAGTTGTGCTCTCAGAACTTTGTATTACAAGAGGACAGTTTCATGCTGCAATGTGAAAGTGGATGTCAAAAATCTAAGTTAAATCAAGCGTTTTCCTCTTGTCAATGCTATGTGCAGCCCAGATGATTTCTAAAATAGTTGGAAATCTTGTAGATTTCAGCTTTGTCAATAATTTTTCATAGCACTGATTTCTCAAGTGTTACTTGCAAGGTCTCTAACTTGAAAACATGAAGGCTACCTAGTTTTAGAGGAATTTTCATCGTTGCACTGTTGAAATTCACTTTCTTCAGGCACACTGATAGTATAGTTCCAGACATCTACTCATCACCATTGCTTATCAAACCCCTTCCAAAGCACTCTTGAGTTTTGTAAGTAGTCTATAGTAATGTGTTAATGTAGCTTTAGGAGAATTACAGGTTAATAATTTTGCTTAATTTACACAAATATATAATCTTGTCTCTTTATTTTTAGGTATGCTTGGCTGTGACAATGGATTATTTATTTGTATCAGATACTCTTATATGAAAAGATCACATTTCCAAAGAGCTTAAACATTATTTCATCTCCTGAAACAGTATGGCAGGCTTCAAACGAGGATATGATGGAAAAATTGCAGGATTGTATGACTTGGATAAAACTTTGGGCAGAGGTCATTTTGCTGTGGTCAAACTTGCTCGACACGTCTTTACAGGTGAAAAAGTAGCAGTAAAAGTAATCGACAAGACTAAACTGGACACTCTAGCCACTGGGCATCTTTTCCAAGAAGTCAGATGCATGAAACTTGTCCAGCATCCCAATATTGTACGACTATATGAAGTGATCGACACCCAGACTAAGCTTTATCTTATCTTGGAGCTGGGTGATGGAGGAGATATGTTTGATTACATCATGAAACATGAAGAAGGTCTGAATGAGGATCTGGCAAAAAAATATTTTGCTCAAATAGTTCATGCTATATCCTACTGCCATAAACTGCATGTAGTTCATAGAGACCTAAAACCAGAGAACGTGGTCTTCTTTGAAAAACAAGGACTTGTGAAATTGACTGACTTTGGCTTCAGCAACAAATTTCAGCCTGGAAAGAAGCTCACCACAAGTTGTGGATCTCTTGCATATTCTGCTCCTGAGATTTTACTTGGGGATGAATATGATGCACCAGCAGTGGGTAAGTTCTCTTTGTATTCAGCCAGTAATCTAAATTCAGGTACTATAACGTTGTATCACTCTATTTTCCCTTTCAAAATAAGGTAAGCCAGCTAATCAGCGAGAAGTAATGCTATAAGTTGAAAGTTACTGAACAGCTTTATTTGAATGAGGAAATACAAAAAAAATTGTCAAAAATGCTTAATTTCTTTATTTTATATGGAATGATGCAATTGCATTCATTATAAATAATTATGGGAATTTTGTTAACACTAAGGTGAATACAATTGCATATATTCATATTTGCTTTGTTAGGGAAAACCCATCTCCTTTTCAGAAAATTGTCTGTCTTAATAACTATAAGTGATTCTTTTGTGTTCAGTTTAGCCAAATAAGAATGACATTTACATTTTGAGCCCAGGCTGCTTATGTATTCTGCTGTAAGGTAGTAGAAATCCAATTTTTAATGGATGCTGTTTTAGTTTCTTGTCCCTTCCTTTGATAGCTAAGGAAAGCTTTAACTCCTTTTTCTCCCTCTCTGTCTTGCTCCTCTGGGAATCTGAAAGTAGGGGTGAAGTTTCCAGTTGTTCTTGTGTTTAAAAGGTAAGGGAGACAGTAATATGTAAATTAGCTTTCATTGCTCATTTCAGTGCTCTAGGTGACCCTGCTTGAGCAGCGGGGGCTGGACTAGATGGTCTCCGGAGGTCCCTTCTAACCTTGGCTGTTCTGTGATTCTGTGATTTTTTTTTTTTTTTTTTTTCCAGCTAGAAAGTTGCAGTGTAGTAGACAGGCTGATAAGGATACTTCTTACTCTTCTATTAAGTTTCCTGCTTATGCTATTAGAAATAACTTAGAGTGTGAGATTTTTTTTTTCCTTTTAATAGCTGTAAAAGCTGTTAGTAGAGTCACTGAATACTGTCCTGTTGTCATACGGGTTGCCCCTATCTGTTAGTTGAGGTTGAATACACTTTCTATATGTAGCAGATTGTAGAATTCTAATTGATGCTTTAAAAATAGCTAATTGTACTCAAAACTCCATGCTCTTATGTACCTGATATCTCATAGTTTATTCTTTTATGACACTCAATAGGACTTTGTACACAGCTGTGCATGTATTCTGGTACGGATACACTAATGACTGTAGTGGTGATAGATAAAACTTGAGACTGAATTGTAGCTTGCCTGACTCTTTTTCTTTGGGTGGGGGGAAGAGGAGGAGGGGGATTCAATAGAAGTGCTCATTTACCTGAGATAAGGCTCAACTTACTTCGTATGCTGGCAAGGTACTTGTGCACATTGTAGAACTAATAGTCTTATTTATATTAAAAATATTTTTAGTAATTAGATGTTACGGTCTTTGTTTAAATGTCACTTTATTCTAACTTTGAATGGGTATTTTGCTGGGGTTCTCTGGAGTTGACAATACTTTCTAAAATGCGCTATAATTAGGAATGCTAGGTGTCTGTTTTTTGTCTTTTTGCTTATCAGTGCTGATGCTACAGTGATGTTTGACATGGTGATTTCTACTTAGTCAAATGTTCTAGATAAGTTGTTTCTGATTTTATCAGTGACAAACTAGAGAACCTAAATCCTGAGCTCTTCTGTGTAAGAGTACCTCTTCATGAGAATTTCCTGAAATCTGCATCTACCTGATTGTAGTGGCCTCTGAAACTAGACGGGAAAATGCATTTGTTAAATGTTCTGTAAAACTCCTTCTATGCATTACTACTTAAAAATGAAAGTGGTATAGTGATCAAGTTTTGGAGAATGGGCAAAAAAACTGAAGCCTTCAGACTGCTGCCCAATTGAAGATTCTTGGAAGAAAGCGGGTATGAGAGGATTACTTTCTTGGAGGAGAGGGGCCATTATGAGCATATGGTATGTATAACTCTAAGGAGAGAGGGTAAATTAACCTATATGAGCAGTAGATGAGAACAGTTAAGACGAGGAAGAGAGGAACTTAAGAGGAATGGGAACTCGGAATCAGTTTGAGGTTTTTGAAGGTTTGTACAGGATATGGGAACTTGGGATGCTACTTAGAAGTAGTGATCTTCTGATTTTATTGCTGTTTTAATCATTTTTGACGCTGCATTTCATATTTCATTATGATTGAGCTTCCTTCTATTGCAGCTTTACATTAATTTGAAAGAGAAGTTATCACTAATATGGAATAAATAGTAACTGCAGTGGTGCTTTATGATAGCTACATATCGCTTCATCTATGAGTGGAAAGAGGCTTAAGACTTGTTGGAGTATGCCTTAGAGAAAACTAATACAGATGACTTTATTTTTTGAGGGTTACCTTCAGAAATAGATGGTAAAATAGTATAACTTCTTTGTCCAGTTCTATATATGAGGATATTGTCTGTAATATGGAAATGTTAGGGCTTGTCTGAGGAAGATACAGTTTCACTATTTTGTTTTGGAAGATACTTCTCTCCACTTATTTTGCAGAGCTAAACTGAAGAGTGTTTTGAATCCAACTTCATTCTAAAAACTTTGACCACATGGTCCAAATTGAATTCAGCAGTTAGGCAGACTTTGTACCTCTTCATGCTGCCACCATTCTTACATTTATCATTTCAAGTGTTTCTTATAGGACCGTGTGAACTTTTAAATGATAGTATTAGAAGAAAATGGTTGAATCAGTTAACAGAAAGAGCATCTTGGCTGGTATAGAGTGGGTTGATGTGGACAGTAGAAAAACTTACCAGAAAAAGAATTTCTTCCAACTTTTGGTTAAAGATGGTAGCTAAGCTCTTTTGCCTAAAATATTTAAATAAACATCGGTAATAGTTTTTGCTTATTTATTCCCCAGTGTACAGTCTCAGTTGCTGGATACTAGGCCTTCTCCCTAGCCTGTTGGACAGATTGCAATGCTTGTGTTCAAATGTTGTTAGTGACCCAGTTTTCATCACTTTGTAATGCAGTACAAAATTTTTAGAATATAAAGTACTGTCAGTACAGTAGTTAGAGTAACAATATAACTATCAAAGTTTACTCTGAGTTGCCAGAAAGATAATATGTCCTTGAAGAGTCCAAATTTTCCTCTCTAACTGTGAATAAAAGGTAAGATATACTATGCAAAGACTTGTGTTTCTTAATGCAAAGATTTTAAAGAAGAAAAATTTTCTCCAGGGTTTTCTCTAAACCCTTCCAACGAGCAATAAGTAAGCTTTAGAAAACCTTTTTTAACGTTTGAAGAAAAACTTTCATGCTGAGATAAGGTCTTGTGTGGACCACAAGTTTGTATAAATTCAGATCTAGACATGCTTTTTCAAAAGAAAAAAGTTACCCCAGAGATATATTATGAAGTTAATTGTGCACAATGTCTTTATATAGCCTTAAATAGTGGCAAAGTGCTGTGAACCAATTCACCTATTGGCTGAGTATGGCTTTTAATATTGCGAGATTAATAACTGACAATGGCAAAGGTATTTTGCCAGTTGGGGTGCAATTATGTTATAGCTGAGCCAATATAAAAGCTAGCTGCTGGTGAGAAAGGAGGTTATACTTTCTCTTGTGTGACTGCATGGTCCTGCCCCTCTGTGAGCATCTGACCACTTCATAAATAATTTAAAATGCCAAAATAAAGCAGGATTGCCCCATTTATACTTTGCTCATTTGAAGGTAAATTTGCAATCATGATAATCTTAAAAGAAAAATCCTTTTGCATTTATCCAAATTTGTCATTATATTAAAAAAAAAAATTTGCAAGAAAAGAAACTGAGCAATATCTACAGCTGACTTATTTTTTTGCCATAGACTTCTGCCACAGATGTGGCTTTTCTGATGTCTTATGAACAATATTAGAATGAGTATATAAAGGAAAGGACTATTTACTTTTTTTTTTGCCATGAAGAACTGATATATATGGGGCAAGTCTTTTAAGTTGTACGCTTAATAAATGTTATGCTGAAGCTTGCGTTATCAAAAACCGTTTCTGCTAGTTTAGAGATTTAGAGAGTTTCCTCTTTGTGATGCTACTTAAAGGTTTTCACACTCGAAGAGAGACTAGTTAGCTTAGCTCTGTCATTTCCTTTTATGTTTAAGGTTGTAGTTAAAATGCTGCAAGAAGAAAATTGAGCAATGGTCATATTTCCCAAGGTTCTTCAAAAAGCTGAGCAAGTTAGCTGTTGAGAAGTTCTGTCAGTTGTAGTTTCCCATGTTGTTTTTGCACTTAATTAAAATTTGCTTGTAGTCCAGGTCTAACTTACTGCCCAGGTGGCCAACCACCTGGTAGCATTCATTGCTGAAGTAGTTAGATGCTGACTTTTCTTGCACAGCTCAAACCTAGATCTTCTAATGATACAGTAACGTGTAATAGACATATGTATTCATTATCTAGACATATGTTTACTATTATTAAGGAAAGTAGCGGACTTGTCATGCATGTTTTTCCCTTTCCTGAGACAATGATTCTGCGTTTAGACCCACTTTGTGTCTGTTGGAATGATCCCAAATGCTTTTGTTTTTTCCTTTGTTGCATCAAAATCTGTAAGAGCTTCATATTTACATAGAGTGTTCAGATAAATGTGTTCAGTCTTTCAAAGCCTCAACTCGCCTCACCCACGCTTATATGGTGTTTGTGTATGGCTAAATATCTCTGACCCTTGCTGGCCTGAATGGAGCTAGTTTTGAGGTATCCGCATGTGTAGAGTGCTTTATTTGTAAACGAAGTAACATAGCATAACAGCCAGTGGGGTATGTATCATAATCTTTTACACTTTAAAAATGCTGAATATGAAATTTGGCGGACTTGATAACAAAATGGGTAGTAAGATATTTGTAAATTGTATATACTGTATTGAATAATTTAGCACACTTGACAGCTTTTTGGAATTTTAGTATTCTCAAAATGAGATTACAGCCAAACTTGAAAGAAAGACAGCAGAAATTCCTGCAGGATCATTCTGCTGATCATGTTGTGTTTTTGGAAATCTCCCTTTTTAATGTCACATTACAACATTTTTGGAGATTTGTAGTTAGACTATAGAGTGAATTGGAAGATTTAGGGATGTG